TCATTCTCATCTCAAATACCACAAAGGTATTTGAAGTCATTAACCAAAAACCAATTGGTTAATCTTTCCACTGTATTACTCAAAACAAGAACGCAAGCACGTAGAAGATTAGTTCTACTTCATTCTCATCTCAAATACCACAAAGGTATTTGAAGTCATTAACCAAAACCCAATTGGTTAATCTTTCCACTGTATTACTCAAAACAAGAAATCAAGCACGTAGAAGATTAGTTCTACTTCATTCCTTTCTTAAACGAGTTGGCACACCACCACATAAACAGCCAATTACACACGTTAGCGTGTATGAGGATTGGCACTTTGGCTGTACTAACCAATTAGAATGGACAGTTCCTCCCATCCTTCTAGACAGATTATATGGCATAGATACCAATCATTCTTTCCATTAGGAAATACGAACAAACTATATGGATAAATAACATATATCATCCAATGCCAATTTTGCCATATGTTCTAGAAAGATTTCAAATTGAAAAGGGTCAGCGTAAATACCCGACTTCGGAAATGACAGCCGAGTGCTTCTTTCCCTTCACCGGTAACCAACCAACCAGTAGAGAGGAGATAAGTAGTTTCATATTCCAAACAATGCTTCCCTTCATGCCCAATGGTCAGTGCTACATATCTAAAAGCTCGATAATTGAATGTGGATTCCCTCTCTTCTTTCTCATCCGGTAACCAACAGAGATCGGAGATAGAAACCATGATTACCGGAAGTATACTTACATGCACAGAGCAGAAACCACATGTCTATCCTAGACCGTCCCTTTTCTTCCTTTCCTTGGAAACGGCATATATATATATATATATATATATATATATATATATATATATATATATATATATATATATATCGACAAACATATAATTACGCGTATATATACAGGAACCGAACATTCCTTTCCACAATAACAGGCAAAGAACATGTAAGATTGCCAAGTTAATGACACTATCAAATGCACTTTCAGATTGACGTCAAGGCAAATCACCAGAACCGCATGACAATAGAACTACCCACCATGTATAATCATGGTACAATACCAACACAGATATAAAACTGACAATTATATTTCGACGTGTGTGTATATATATATACTGAACATCACAACAAGTCCCCAATTTCTTTTGGCAGAAGGAACAAAGTGTTCCAACTAAAACTTCATCACCAATTATAAATTAAATTACAGATGCACGCATAGAGACCAATTAACACACAGCATCATGCCCGGATATTTTAATGACCCGATATAGAACACTTACTCCGTACCGCATGCATGAAACGCCATTTTCCTATGGCAAATACATAGATTAACAACGAATGACAATTTAATGCCGATCAAGACAAATTTCGTATACGAGAGCAATTACCAAAAAAGTTTATAAGATTCTTTAAATCATTGTTGGGGAAATTGTTCACGTATACTATTTTCTTGCAACACAAGCAAACACATAAGATTAAGAAAAACATGCAAAGACACATGCAAGCGTCCTAGCCGATAGAATTCACTATCTCTCCTTAAAGAATCTTATTCCCCTCAAGTACCCAAGGTTATGGAATGATTCCTCCTAGGATAGAAAGGACGTACCTTTTCCGGCGTAGCGGTACCTCAAACCCCGGAAACCATCGAACGCAGCAAATCGGCGAGAACCACACTTGACTCTATTTTCTCTTTGAAAAGAATACAGAAAACTAGTTTTGGATTTAGGCAGAATTTTGGTACTGGAAAAAATCATCTATATCTCGTCCTTAAAACTAAAGGGGGTATGGTGCTATTTATAGAAAATGAAGGGGTGCATTGAAGGGAGGCAACTCTTCATATGGGTGGTTACACCCCAACCAACGCATTTGTTCGTTTTAAAAATAATGAACCATTGCATCGGTTTGGTCCATGATAGTTGGACTGGTTTGGTTTTTCCAACCGCCTCATCGGTTCGGTTCGATTTGGTTCAACTCGGTTTGGTTTGGTCCATTTGGTACACAAACCAATTTAACCGATTAACCACATATTATATCAAATCGATCGAATTCGAGGCCGTGCCTTCCCACATCTTACCAACATGGTACTTCAAGAGACTCTCTTAAAACTTTCCCCTTTCATTTTCATTCACACCACTAAAAATCCCAACAATGCCTGGGAGTATAGATTGAAGAATCAGGATTTTTGTACATTTACATCTAAAACTGGTTTTTGGATATTGCAAAAGTTGCTTAAAATTAAAGAGAATATCCAGCAGAAAAGGTTACTGCAGAATGGTGAGATCTTATGGAATGGTAATGTGATGACAAAGTTTAGTATTGAACATCTTTGGGAAGACTTTCGTTATAGGGAGCACCCTGTTCCTTGGTACTCTCTTGTTTGGAAGAGGCCATCAATCCCACACAATCGATTCCTTGTGTGGTTAGTGGTCAGACATTTCATATCTACCGGGGACAAGATGAGTAGGTGGGGGGTGCAGCCGTGCAGGTCTCTTCTCTTGTGTTTTGTGTTCATGTGCACTGGAAACTAGAAGCCACATGTTTGCAGAATGCCCTGTAGCTAAATGTATGTTTGCAGGATTAATTGCTCCTGTTTTTCATCGATATTCATTTGACTGTTGGGAGGATGAGCTACAGTGGGAGATTGATAACCTCAAGGTTAAGACAGTAAACAAACAAATTGCTCGGGTGATCTGGAGAGCCATGATTAGTACTATCTGGTGGGAGAGATGTCTGGTGCGACATGGAGGTAACAAGAAGACATCCCAACTATGATTGAGCAAATTAAGAATGAAGTTCAAATGTTTTATGGAGGGTATGATTGTCTGTCACTGAGTTCTTCGGTCTTGGCAATGAATTGATTGAGATTGGTTAGGATACATTGTGGTAACCAGTACACAGGGTATATAGTTTTGCATAGAGTTCAAACAAGTAAACTACTCTCGGTTACTCATTGGCAGAGTATGTTGCCAAAGGTACTTGCTTTTCTATGTTATAAAATTAACTAATTCATATATATGGCGACGTTTTCGGTGCACTCATATCATAATCGTCATTCCGAGCATGCAATTCATGTGAAAATGATGTCAATCATCACTCGTGGTACGATGAACAAGCACATGAATTTGTAAAAAAATTATTAAAATTTTACTTTAATTTGAATGATTTAGGGTTTATGAATTTAGGGTTAGGGTTTAGGTTAACAATTTGGGGGTTTGGGTTGGGATTCAAAATTGAAAGTTAAGGGGTTAGGGTAATCGACTGATTAATAGTGATTTTATATTATATTGTAAAATTCCTCGACTGAGCACTTCTACTATCCTATATAGCATTGGTGCTTTAATGTACAACTCAAAGTTGTACCATAGCATTAAATGTATAAGTTTAGGTTGTACCATAAAGCAATTTGTACCATTATGTTATGGTACAACTTTACAACTTGAAGTTGTACCATCACATAAATTTACAAGTTCAAGTTGTACCCAGTGTAGTCAAAATCACGCTTTAAAGCGTAAAATCGTACGATTTTACGTTTCTAGGGTAGGAAAACGTTTCAAATCACTAATAAAATCGTATTTTACTCAAAATCAGTCATAAGCGTTAGTAGAATCGTTAAAATCGTTAAAATTGGATAAAAGCGCGCTTTCATATCGTTTTTATCCGATTCCAAGCAAAGGAGAAAAATGTCTCCGCCAAACAAAAATGACGCCATTTTGATCACTTCGAACAGAAAAAAGGGGGGAAAGGGGGTGGATATTAGGCTGAGGTTGCCAAACCACTCTTCCGCGATCCCTAATCCTCCATCTCTAGCACTCCAGCACAATCTGCCGCGCCGCGCAGCCGACCTTCCAGTGAAGTATTCGCCGCCGCTGCAAGTCCGCAACCGCCTTCGCCACCTTCCAGCGAAGCTCTAGCCCGTCGCACTCGATAGCTCCAACACGGCAGCACCCGTCGCACTCGTCGTCGCCTGTCGCCACTCGTTGGCGCCACACCATGTTAGTTTCTGTCTCTATCTTCTCCTACCCCGTCGCCACTTCACCTATGACTCCTAAATGGTGGGTAAATGCTTCCCCTTCTCAACTCTTAGTCCACCCTGAACATATAACCTAGCAGGTATTTCTAGCTAAATTACAACTCACACATTCTCAATAATTTAAACCAACCCAGCAAAATGAAGGAAACTCTACTTATAATTTCCAATAGGCGTATAACCTACTGGATTACCTACGTATGCTACTGCTAAATTATGTATATGTGGTGTTTTTAATTGAACCTTTGAGAAACCAAGGGCAGAATGTGAAGCTAATGTTGTGAGAATTTGGAAGCTAATGTTGTGAGAATTTGGTTATTAACTCGTTTGTGGGTTACAGTTTATGTTTATGAACTTACTGTTAAGATGTTATGAATTTGCTTTTAGGTAGAATCGCGCTTTTGACTGCATTGGTTGTACCATAAAAGAATTTGTACAAAAAGTATAAGTACAATATAAAGTTGTACCATAACGTAAATATACAATTTTAAGTTGTATCATAAAGGCAAAAATCTATAGCACCAATACTATATAACATTCTAAAATTCCTCGACTAATAATACCAATTAAATTTCAAAATTTGATGTAAGTTCACTAAAGCAGCCAATTTGCCAGTCTAATAAATACATCTGCAAAATTAGGTAATGGATATGATGAATGGATGCAGCAGCAGCAGCAGCAGCACCTTGGGAAGCCAGCGGATGAAGTAAGCAGTGAGTCACACAAGCCCTGCACTTCAATATAATTTTCTTAGAAATGGGAATGAGATTAATGTGCTGCCCGAAACATGGGAAGATTCGTTTTCTCCCATTTCAATGGTTTGACTATTATTACTTTTCTCTAGTGCTGCTTCCACTGCAAATTAAGTATTACCTCACCAATTATGTCACTCCCAACCCCTGTCCCATACATAATAATATCATATTATCATCTCCAATTCTGCCTACTACTATATATACAAACCACACTAGCTCAATCCCCTCCGCCATTAATCCTTCACCACATTCTCACCAGAGCAATTCTCATTCCCTTGTCCTGACTATACCTCAGAGTGATCTTGGAATAACTAAATCCCAGCTACAACAATGGCAGCAATTCAGTCGGCAGAGCAAGAGCACCCTGTTCCGGCCTTTGGTTGGGCTGCAAGGGACCAATCTGGTGTCCTTTCCCCTTTCAATTTCTCCAGAAGGTGCGTCTCAGTTCAATCTAGTTAATCCTGATCCATATCAAGTGCGAATTTTCTTTTCTCTTTCTGTTGATTTATGCGCTTATCTCTCTGCCTCATTCGTCCAGAGAAACAGGGGAGACGGATGTGAAGTTCAAAGTGCTCTACTGCGGTATCTGCCACTCCGATCTCCACATGATCAAGAACGAATGGGGTACCTCCACGTACCCACTGGTCCCCGGCCACGAAATCGTCGGCCAGGTCACCGAAGTCGGCAGCCAAGTCACAAGATTCAACCCCGGCGACCGAGTCGGCGTCGGCTGCATCGTCGCCTCGTGCCGCTCCTGCGACAACTGCATCGACGACCTCGAAAACTACTGCCCCAAATACACCCTCACCTATTCCGGCCTCAGCTCCGACGGCACCATAACCTACGGCGGCTACTCCGACGTCATGGTCTGCGACGAGCACTTCGTCCTCCGAATCCCCGACGCCCTGCCCCTCCATTCCGCCGCTCCTTTGCTCTGCGCCGGGATCACGGTTTACAGCCCATTGAGATACTATGGGCTGGACCGGCCCGGGATGAAAGTGGGCGTTGTTGGGCTTGGTGGGCTGGGCCACGTGGCCGTCAAATTCGCCAAGGCCATGGGGGCTAAAGTCACCGTCATCAGCACCTCGCCGGCCAAGAAAGAGGAGGCAATCCGAAACCTGGGCGCCGATTCGTTTCTGATCAGCCGCGATCAGGACGAGATGAAGGCGGCGATGGGGAGTTTTGACGGGATCATCGATACGGTGTCGGCGGATCACCCGTTGGTGCCGTTGATTGGGCTGCTGAAGACGAATGGGAAGTTGGTCTTGGTCGGGGCGCCGCCGAAGCCGCTTGAGCTGCCGGCTTTCTCGTTGCTGATGGGCAGGAAGATGGTCGGCGGGAGCGGGATTGGAGGGATGAAGGAGACGCAGGAGATGCTTGATTTTGCGGCCAAACATGGCGTTGCGGCGGAGGTCGAGGTTGTTCCCGTGGAATATGTGAACGAGGCCATGGAACGTTTGGAGAGGGCGGATGTCAAGTACAGATTCGTCATTGACGTTGGCAACACATTGCTGAACAATGCTTGATTAAGTTGGTTCCCAAATTTTACGCATTTCACCGTGGTTGCTTGGATTTGTGTTTGCTTCTAGTATGAGTAATTGAATAAGAAATAAGAGTATGTCTTGACGAGAATGGATTTATATATATTTTTATAAGAAGTCCTATTATATTATTAATAGAGTCAAACAAAGTGGGCTTTTTCGGCCTCAAGAAGACTCCTAATGGAGTAAGGGGGACTATCAGTCCAGATACAAATCTGATCCCAAAAACCATTCAAGTGGGCTAAACAGTGGGCCACAACATTAGACTTCCTAGGGACAAAAGCCCATTCAACCTTTTTACCCGAGAAAGCTTCGTTGATGGAAGCCAGCTCCCTTATCTCTTTGCATCAAATCTCTAACTCTGTGCGATCCTCATCTCCTTTGTCCAGCATCTGAATCAGCTTCATACAGTCCGACTCAACAATCAATGGACTCCAGCCCCTGCGATTTGCTTCCCGTAGTCCAGCAACTAGTGCTCTTGCCTCAGCTTCCACTGGTGTGCATGTGCCCGATTCCTTCCCCGCTACTGCACCAAGAAAATTCCCATTCCAATCTCTGAACACACAGCCCAAAACAATCCCATTCGGCCTCAAGATTCCTGCGTCGCTGTTCATCTTGAAAGATCCGCTCGGTGGAGGTCTCCAGCCCTGAGGGTTGCTTGGGTGATTCGTGTTCGCAGTCACCGTGCCCTGAGCCTGAAGGTAATCCGATAGCCAATCGAGAGCTTTAGGGATGATCTCCTCCGCCTCCAGCTTCTTATTATTGAACATATGGTTGCATCTTTCTTTCCAGATGAACCAGAGGATAGCACAAAACCTCTGGAGGTTCTCGTTAGAGTGGGATTCAAAGGAATTAAGGAACCAGTCCCTGCCCGAAAGACCTTCCCCCTGCTTGAAGATGTCGTTATCACTGCATGGTTGCCATAGCCGCCTGGTCCAGTCACAGTCTCTCAAACAGTGGAGTTGGGTTTCAGGAAGACCACAGAAGGGGCAATCAGACGGAGCTTCTTCAATCCTGCTTTCCACATTAGTCCCAACTGGTAAGATATCTCTGCTTATTCTCCATAAGAAGATTTTAACTTTAGGTTGAACAGGGAGACGCCAGATTTTCCTCCAGTAGCTTTTTAATCTTTGGGATTCCGAGTTGTCTTCATCCACACTAGGATGTTCCTTCTGCCATAGACTCCTGTATGCTGTTTTTACGCTGTAGATCCCATTATCTGCTTCAGACCACACCACAATATCATTCGTAGGAGGATTTCTCAGGGGAATTTTCATAATCTCAGTCTGATCATTAGCGGAGAAAAGGGCTCTCAATTTGGGAATATCCCACCATCCATTATCCCTGTCAATAAGGGAACTAACCCTGAGATTATCCCTGATCTCGTTATCTTGTTGGACTGGCAAGAGTTTTTTAGTATTTGGAATCCACCAGTCATCCCAAACCTTTATACTCTCCCCATCCCCCTCTCATTTTGGATAAAGCAGTTTGGTGTTGCTCGGAATGTAATTTGGATACAACAAATTTATGATTTGTATTTTAAACTTTTCAAATTATTTGAAATGCTTAATTACATATGATATTAAGGTGATATCGATATTATTTTTCAACTTTTGTAGTTCTTATAACATTTCATCAATAACCAAACACTGTATTTTTTATGTTTATTGTTGGGAAAAAGCTTTCATTATCTAGGCTAAAACTCAAAAAAGATCAAGCTGAATATAAAAAAATATCAAGAGGTAACAATTGTCAAGTCCAACAATATAATAGAAGAAAGCAACAAGACAAACTCATATAATGTGGCAGAGCAATCACACACAAAGCAAGAGAGAGGTTACTCTGTGATTAGCAACATGTGTGAAAAGCGAAGTGTTCATTTTTGTATTGCTTTACGCTTTGTTTGGCAACGAGGGGGGTGCAAATTTAAGGAGGGGGCAAATTGAGGAGTAAATGGCAGGGGGAGCAAATTAAATAGAGGTGCAAATTGAGGTGTAAATGGTTGTTTGGGAGAAAAAGTAGGAGGGTGTAAATGTTAAATAAAAAATATTAAATTATATTAAATTATATTTATAAACTAATTAAAAACATATAAAAATATTATTTCTTTTCTTTTTCACTTTCCTTCTCTCCCACGACGAAAACTTTCCTTCTCTCCCACCGTCTTTCTCTCTCTCCACTTTTTTCTCTGTTCTCTCCCCTTTCCTTCTTCTTTCCCGTTCTCCCCTTTCTCAAATCCCTCATCTCTTCACTAGATTTCATACCTAAATATCAACCTCGTCATTCTGAAATTGTCGCCACATTTCGATCTTCTCGCACCAGGTTTGGTGGCTGGGCAGGTCGGAAGCAGATGGCGGTGGCGGGAGCAAGCTTCCTTCCTCCTCCATCAGCGACGACGAGAGACGACAAATCTGGGCAGGACCTCGTTGGCTGGACGCGCATATATCGGAACAGCGAACGAAGGTCTCGGGCTTGCCGGCTAGCTACGCGGAGGTGGGAGCTCTGATTTGAAGAAAAACAGGGAAAGGAGATATGAATAGCGACGAATGGTCTTGGGCGTCGCCGTCGATTTTCCCACAATGTTGTCATCGTTTCTTAGTTCGGGAGATAGAAATAGAGAGAGACTGCTCACTCACCGTCAGCACACGCTGGAGACAAGGCCGAAAAAAATCCAGAAAAAAAAAGAAGAATTAAAGCGTTCAATTTTTCTCTCTCCCCCTGCACCCCGATTTGGGGGGTTTGCTTGAATAGTAGATTTGCGCCTGGATTATTGCACCCCCCTACTATTCAAAACTTTGCCAAACAGGGGCAAACGCATTGGAAGGAGAGTTACCCCTGCATTTTTGCTCCCCCCCCCCTGCAATTACCCCTCTTTCCAAACGAAGCGTCAGTGTTGTGAGCTTGTGTAAGTTCTCTCTAGCGTGAGCTTGTGAGGAAGAGAGAATGTTTTATTGTTCTATTCTTATCAAGGGGTTCAGTTTCATCTAAAGGATCTCAACTTGGAGTTAGAGATGAATAAGATAAAAACATAGACACTTAGGTCTCAAAGGGTGAGACACCTTTGAGCCAAGATGTAACCAATAGACTAAACCCGGTTAACCCAAAAAAAAAAACCCTATGCATGTGTTCATCTCTTTACCTTGTTTGCTTTGTTTTTACTTTGGTATATGTACTCTGTTATGTCGTCGCCAGAACTGTCATACCCAAAGGTTGAAGCAATCATGCAAGACATAATCGTTTTACTCGATCATGTTGTCTTGGTCCTTGATCCACATACTAGGATTATCCAACTGAAAGTAGCCCAAATTCCTCTTTTATCTCTTCTCTTACTTTTAGGAAGTTACTAACCAACTGAAAATGTGTCTAGAGTTGAGGATAATGAGCAACCTAAAAATAGAAAGGATCTAGCCCTAAAATCAATGCAGTCAAAAGCGCCATTCTAACTAGAAGCGGAAAAGGGATAAAATCGTAAAGCGTAGAATCAAAGTGTAAAAACGTAAGTTTTTGAAGCATACTGAAAAATAACTAAAAATCTATTGAGTAGGACATATGATATGCAAAATATGAATGCACAAATAAGTTAATAAATACATGCGATTCATGCCTAAAGTAGAATAACTTATAGCATCTTAATAATAAGTTCGTAAACATAAATTTTAACAATAAGCCACTTTTCCCTCAATGCTAATGAATTTGGGAAAAGCCTAGCTGGTGAATTAGATTACTCTATTGAAGTTGAATGCATCCAAGTACCTGATATGTATCTTCTAATCTCAAATGTATCATATTGTTAGTGATTTACTTTTAAAATATACTTTTTATAATTAATTTCATGAAAAGAATACTCATTTAGTGAACTAAAAGCGTAAAAACGTAAAACGTTTTGATGAACTAGAAGCGTAAAACCGTAAGCTTTAAAGCGCGATTTAGTCTGATTTTATACACTTAAGTTTTTATATGGAAACGAAAGCGTTTTGGTGACCTAAAAGCGTAAAATCGTAATTTTTTAAATTTTAAAGCGCGATTTTGACTGCATTGCCTAAAATCACTAAATCTAGATGATGATGATGATGAAGTGGAAGGGCAGATTGCATTACAAACAAAGCATTACTTAAGATGTAAAACGAATATGAAAAATAAATTTGATAGATAAGAAGAGAATATGATCAGATCCGACAAGAAAAAGGATGATGTTCATAAGTTTTATAGAAAATGGGTTGTATGTAGAGTTGAAATGGGCTCTAGTAATAGTGTGAGTGAACCCCAGTTGGTACTTGAGACCTATTCATTCCTTTTATTCCTTGGCAAAAGAAACCTGCTCTTATGGAGAATCAAACGTACAACTTAGGGCATGTTTGGAGGTTGTGATTCATACAATTGATGTATTCTATCAATAAGTGTATTGTAAATATATGTATTTTATCAATGGTTGTATTTGACAAATCCCTTGTTTGGTAATGTATATTTTACTTTTCACATAACCTAAAAGTGGTTCACTTTTCAGGTTGAAGGACATAATTGCCCTTCACCAACTCCTTCTTCCTTTAATTCCATTTCAGCTGGCGGGGAAGGGTGTTAGGTCTGGTAAAGCAGCAGTCCGTGCAAAATAGCAGTGAGTTTCGACCAAATGACGGATGCGCAACGGTTCCGGCGAATCCCCGACGACGATGAAGAAGACATCTCTGTCATTTGCAAGTGTGGCTCTCCTGCAATCGTTAGGACATCGCATACAACGAGTAATCCAAATAGAAGGTTCTTCGGTTGCCCGAAATGGAGTCCAGAACAGGTGTTGTCTTCAGCTGTGTTGGTTTCCTTTGTAATTAATGTCTTATATAAAATAATTGTGAGGCTGTATTCCTGGTGAATTGATCAGAGAACTTCCCGTAACATCTCCTGGTTTCGCACACTTTCCGTAGAGAACTTCCCACATGGACATTAGTGAACAGTCCTAGTCTGGTTGCCTCCCCGTGAACTAACAAGCCAAG